TACATCATGTCACATATTAAATATGCAGATTTCATGATTTAATTCAAGATAGCTACCAGGTAGATGGCGTCATTTCTTGTGACCTTATAATGAACAACATTTTGTTTTGCACTTAAATTCAAAATGGTTGATTTAGATCCATGTTTGTGAACTCGGTCATTTATGTAAGCGAATACATTACTTAACAGAACAAATACAGTAGCAAAATCATTGTGAAGTGTTTATATCATATACATTTTGATATTGTCATCACAATAGCATGTAAAATAATTTCATTTTTGTTTGTTAGGTGGTCAAATTACAGGGAAAACATCTTGTGAAGACTTGTGCTTTTCCGGTGTTGGTTTTGTCCGAGCCAAAGGTGCTGTCCGAAACCCTCACAATATGAACTATGCAGCTGGTGGGTCAAGTAGTGGATCTGCATCTCTGGTATTAAAATAATCAGTCCCTGTTTAGATGCGACATGTACAGCATGTACTTCAGTGTCAATATTCTCAACAATTGATCAGTTTATATCAATCAAACTGTACATGTTAATTAAACAATAATGAATGGCATGCCAACCCAAAATGGACGAAAGCTCACTTTGTGCGACATATTTGTGCGAGGTGTGAGCTGAGTACAAAGCATAAAGTGTGCTTGTGTTCATTATTGTTATTATTTTTGACTCTCGTGTGCGAAGCACACAATGGGAGTCTTTGCAGTTAGTGTGTTTGTATGTGTGCGTGTGTGCGTGTGTGTGCTCGTCTGTTTCACTGATATCTCTAGAACCATACATTAATTTTTGATGAAACTTGGTACATAGATGCTCTTGCATATTAATTACTTAATTAGCATGATAATTAGCAGATTTTTAGCTGTTCCACGACTGTTCCACTGATATCTAAAGAACCACTCATTGGATTTTGATGAAACTTGGCACATATATGCTCTGAACTAATGCACAGATTTGATTAGTTTTAGGTGAAAATCCGTGCATATTAATTACCTAATTTGCATAATTATTTATCAATGTTCAACTTTTCACTGATATCTCAAATACTAATTTATCACATTTCAAAACTTGGTACATAGATATCATAGGACACTGCACTGACCCGATAGTTTTTAAGGTAATATCAGTGCATATTAATTACCTAATTTGCATAATTAATTAATTTTCAGCTTTTAATATCTCAAGTAGTAATCATCACATTTCAATGAATATTGGTGCATAGATGTCATATGACACTGCACAGACCTGATATTTTTTAGGTTAATATCAGTACATATTAATTACCTAATTTGCATAATTAATTAATTTTCAGCTTTTAATATTTCAAGTAGAAATCATCACATTTTAATGAAACTTTGTACATAGTTACTTAAGGACTGTGCAGAGACCTAATTAGTTATATGGTTAAATATTTATGAATAGTAATCACCTTATTAGCATAATTAGTTAATTTTCAGCTTTTCGCCTGATATCTCAAGTACTAATCATCACATCTTAATGAGACTTGCAACATAGATTTTCTAGTACTATGCAGAGACCTAATTAGTATTAAGGTAAATAATTGTGCATATTAATTACCTTATATCCATAATTAGTTAATTTTTTGCTGTCCCATGACTGTTCCACTGATATATAAAGAACCACTCATTGGATTTTAATGCAACTTTTAAAGAGTACTCATCATCATGTTTCAATGCACCTAGGACTATGCAGAGACCTAATTAGTTTTTGGTAAATATTTATGTTTATTAATCACCTAATTAACATAATTAATTAATGAACACTAATATCTCAATTACTGATTATCACATTTTAGTAAAATTTGGCACATAAATGCTCTAGGACAATAGACAGGCCTGATTAATTTTGGGTTAAAATCTGTTCATATTCTCTAATTAGCATAGTAATTCTTAATTATTTGGTTATAATCACATTTCAATGAAACTTGGTACATAGATATTACATTATGCAGACCTTATTAGTTTTACACTCAAATCTGTTTATATTAGTTATCATATCTCAAGTACAAGTAATTTTGAATTAAATTTTAATGTGTCTCCAATACTCTCAGCACACGTGAGTTCTTTTTAAGCTTTCTTTGATTCACCGTTGTCAATATGAGTGGATTTGCTGCCACCAAAATGCAGAAAATTTGGTGACAAATCCACAGTGACCGGAACAGTTTCACTGTCACTGGCCCGTGAATCTGAATAATTTAAAATGTCTTCCTGGAAAATGTTTCCACAATCTCATATGGCAAACTAAGAAACTAGTTGTAATCCATCAAATATGATTGTATTTAAATTATTTACAATGTAAGTGGACGGGTAACTGGTGTGTGGTTTGGAGTAGCACTGTAGTGATCACCATAGTGGACAGCACACCGTGACCGGTATGTCGTTTCGGTGCCCGCCACGGCCTTGCACTATGTTAGTTCACCGCATGGATCGACTGTGCATAGAGGTGCGTACCCGGGATACATGTACATAGTTGTATCGTTATTATTATACCCCATCACACGAGTGATTTCAGCCTTGCCAGTGAATGCCAGTGAATTTTCACACATTAAAACTAAGATATTTTGGAAGAAACGAAAACATTCAACAGAATCTACATTATATGGGCTTTGTAATCTGTATGCTGTATATAATGTCAACGTGTTCACGCAACGATTCCTATTCACACACACAGTACAATACAGTGTGCAGAAGTCATTTCAACATAACACGTATACAAAAAATAGACAAACTGGGAACTCCCTATCCTACATGATGTTAATTTACCGATGATCGAGAGGACCAGTGATGTGTCGAAAATCACGTACCCCCCGTATTTAGTCTGCTGTGAAGTAATTTTTTTTATTTCTTGCATTATCGCACACATTTAACTGGGATTCGCCGACATCGATAAAACAGGCCATCGTGTTTGCCTTTGGTGAGCTACATTTATTTATTTGTTGGGCGTCGGTACCGGATTGGCCAGACTATGATTTGTGTTTGTCGTTATGGCGAGAATGACATTTTTCATGTAAACTAAGAACAATAATTATTTTTCATATCGCTCATTCACTCAAGTTATTCATTTTCAGTTTTGATTTTAATTGTTTTCACCCCATGCCCGTCTCTTTATTTCTTTTCCAAACATTATCGCGAATAATCTGTGGCAACGACATCATAAAATTTGCTGGTATTGGTAATCCTATAATATAATGAAGAATAATATGGTTTTTACAAGAATCCTTCAAAGTATTCCTGAAGGAATTACGACCATTATGTTGATCAATGTGTAGTAGATGTTGATGCAATCCTGTACAGTGATGCGCATACTTTGCGGTATATTCTCATGATAACCTTAATATGTATCTATTTCCTGCTTTAATAATGATTTATCAGCGTGAAATTAGGAACAATTCCGTACACAATACGTAACAATACAGTACTCAGTTTATTTTTATTTATATTATTTTTTTTTTCTAATAATGAATACATACTAGGTTGAATAGCACTAAGTTAAATTAGAATATTAAAAATACTTGAGAATCCTTTCATAGAATTATTATCTGTGATAATACTGTTTCTGTGATGTCTTTTAGGTAGCGTCTGGACATGTGGATATGGCATTGGGTGCTGACCAGGGTGGATCAATACGCATACCCTCTTCATGGTGTGGTGTTGTCGGTTTTAAACCAACATTTGGATTAGTTCCATATACTGGTATATCACAGATGGAATACACTGCTGACCACACTGGACCAATTGCAAAGAATGTATACGACTGTGCATTGTTGCTAGAGGTATATATTTACAGTAGTAACAAGGGTAAAACGTGTAAAATTGAATATGTTGAATGTATCATATCTGCACTGTGCAATTCACCTTGCTTAAAGTGTTAAAAAAAATCAATAGTCGTAATGGTTGAAAAAAGCAAACATTGGTATGGCAAATGCACTAATGTATAAGCTTTCAGGTTGTTCTACTATCATGTTTAGTAAATTTTAGAGAATATTTAACATGTTTTACCTCTGTTATTATTTTAATTATTTTATCATAATTCTGTAATAATTTTTTATTTTAACATAATGGTAATGGCCGTTGAAACATATTTCCAGATTTCCTTGACTACGTGGCATAATAGTTCGGTCACTGAACTATTTTTAGCACTAAAAATTGGTCAAATCTCTATGAAAACAATTATTATTGAATCATTTACAATTGGTTCCTTCATCATATCTCAATATTAAATTTGGTTACATGTGATGAAAAATATCATATGTATTATAACATGGGTAATATTGATTGGCACAAATTATTTGGCAATTCTGACAACTTATTGTTTTATAAATTATTTGTTGGTAAAATGTACCTGGTGAAAAAAAAAATTTATTAAATATTGCATATGTTGTGATTGTAAATGGTGAATTTGTTTGAAAAGCTTTGTATTTGTGATAGGTCTGATAATTTAAAATTCTGAATTTACGTAGGGTAGATGATATAACGTTTGAGATTTTTCTTCTTCTTTTTCCTCACTTGCAGACAATTGCTGGTCTTGATGGTGGATTGGATCCTAGACAACCAGCTAATTTAACTGTACCAGAATATACTAAAGGAGTAAGAATACAATTCTATTCATATATTGCTAGGAGGGACCGTACACTCTGAAAATATATTCCTCACAAAAACAAATGTAATTTGAAATTTAATTTCATCTAGTGTATAAGTTCCAACAACCATTCTGTGATTCCAGAATGATTTTTGTCGTTCATTTACAGAGTTCATTCAGTTGTTTTATAGATCTGATTTGAATTGGGTAACTCGCAGTAGTATGCTATTATGGGGTCATTAATCTTACATGTCCAGACCAATTACATTATAATTTTACCCATACATACTACATCAAATATTATATTTTTCATTGTTAGTGTCACCATTACCCTACTGGAAATTTCAGTTTTGTTTACTACATACTTCACTACAGAGAATGTGTCTAGTCAATGAATGCTTCTATTAGACTGAATTGTTAGAGGTTCCTTTGGATATTGGTGTCATGAATTAGTAAATTCTGTTGTTTTTAATACCATTTAAAATCTGTATTTTTCTCTTAAAAATTGGTCAAAATAATAAAATTACATATTGTGTGACTGATTTGAAAGAAAACTGTTTTAGTCATCGTCTGATTGGCATTCGGCCTGTAAAGAAGGTCAATACAGCTGCTGGTATATATAAATCCATTCTAACATAAAACACAAGTACAAAGTTTATAACAGGGATTGAAATAGAATTTTTTCCATGCATGCATAGTGTGCATGTTGAATTTGAAATTTACCTGCACTAACATGTGAAATGCACTACTTTTAAAGTTTAAATAAAATTTACGGGTTCTCGATTGATGCAATCACGAAAAAATTGTTCACAATGTTGGTTGAACTTAATTTAGGCTTAGTGAATATAATGAGAAAATGTTGTTTCTACATGCACAGCGTGCACATTATATTTTGAGTTTACTTGCACTAGCTAATAATCTATGTGCATAGTGCAGTGTGCACCAGGGTATTTCGATCCCTGTTATAATCAAAAGTTGTTATTCATTTTAGTTTGGTATGAAGTTACCTGGCATAAAGATTGGAGTTCTTAAAGAAGGATTTATTCGTCCAGAAACAGAGCCAGATGTTGCAGCCATGGTGAAGAAATCAGCATTCCAGATGATAACACTGGGAGCTAAGGTTGAAGAAGTGTCAGTTCCTATGCATATGCATGGTAGGTCAGTCATGTAATTATAAGTGAATTGAAAATACTAGGCAGATATATGTCATAAACTGTTACATTTTTCCAATTGACTTTAATAGCTTTGCTGCCTTCGTTATCGCTATCCCATGACATGTACGTGTCCTGTGCATCCACTTTTTTTCTTCAAATGTCTTCTTCTTGAAAACCGTGAGATTTGATTATTTTATGACAAAACCTTCAATGAAGATATTTTTAGTCCCCATTTGGACAAAGTCTAAAAATGGGGACTATTAATTTGGGTTCTGTCTGTCCGTGTGTCTGTGTTCAAACTTGGCATACAGACTACATGTATGTATGATGACCTACATATGCATGCCAATTTTTGTTATGATTTTATTAAATATGTCTGACTGGCAGCCATTTTGTCCCACAAATTCACTACGTTCAATTACCCACCATAGACTCCGGTCAGTCAAAATGACTATTTTGAACTGTAGGCATTAATCAGCGATTCTGCCAATGACGGCGAGATAGAATCTAGGTCAGGGGAAGCCCCGTGACCCCAAGATTCTTTTTCCTTACGTCACGAACCACGTGACCGAGCCCATATGGCGGCGCCATTAGGGCTGGATATCCACTCTACTTCTTCTCCGCATTGAGTGGAGATCAAGTCTAGCGAGCTCTGCCTGGATCGCTTGCTTTTTTCCTGTCCTGGTTTCTAGCTTCGGTTGTTGCCGCTGCACGGCATTCGACATTGTAGCTGGTAGGATAAGTTTTCCTTGTCATTTTTACCCTCATGTCGTTTTCCACTTTGTGTGTAGTATCTTTCACAACAAAGAAATAATACCCAGGCGACGTAGCTTAATCACTTGTTGGTTTCGTTACGTCTACTTTTCCTACTATAATTCGCTTCCCTCATGCATGTCGTCTTCATTTTATGCTTGATCTATGTATTTAGAAATGAATAGATGTAATGACAGCACCAGGGCTCGCT